TGTTTTGTTAGATAACATGTTAGTGACTGTTTGTCTCTGTTAACAGGTGTACAATCTGTTGTTTGTTAGATAACATGTTATGACTGTTGTCTCTGTTAACAGGTGTACATCTGTTGTTTGTTAGATGACATGTTATGACTGTTGTCTCTGAACAGTTGTAACATCTGTTTGCTGTTTAATGACATGTTATGACTGTTGTCCCTCTGTTAACAGGTGTACATCTGTTGTTTGTTAGATAACATGTTATGTACTGTTGTTCCTCTGTTAACAGGTGTAGCATCTTGTTGTTTTGTTAGATAACATGTATGACTGTTGCCCTCTGTTAACAGCTGTACATCTGTTGTTTTGTAGATAACATGTTTATGACTGGTTTGTACCTCTGTTAACAGTGAAACATCTGTTGTTTGTTAGATAACATGTTATGACTGTTGTCTCTGTTAACAGGTGTACATCTGTTGTTTGTTAGATAACATTTATGACTGTTTGTCTTCTGTTAACAGGTGTACATCTGTTTTTTGTTTAGATAACAAGTTATGACTGTTGTCTCTGTAACAGGTGTACATCTGTTTTTTGTTAGATGAACATTTTTAGTGACTGTTGTCTCTGTTAACAGGTGTACACTGTTGTTTGTTAATAACATGTCATGGTTTTGTTTTTCTTCTGTAACAGTGTACATCTGTTGTTTGTTAGATAACATGTTATGACTGTTGTCTCTGTTAACAGGTGTACATCTGTTGTTTGTTAGATAACATGTTATGACTGTTGTCTCTGTTAACAGGTGTACATCTGTTGTTTGTTAGATAACATGTTATGGTTGTTGTCTCTGTTAACAGGTGTAACATCTGTTGTAGTTAGAATAACATGTTATGACAGTTGTCTCTGTTAACAGGTTACTCTGTTGTTTGTAGATAACATGTTAAGACTGTTGTCTCTGTTAACAAGTGTCCATCTGATTTTGTTAGATAACATGTTATGGTTGTTGTCTCTGTTAACAGGTGTACATCTGTTGTTTGTTAGATAACATGTTATGACTGTTGTCTCTGTTAACAGGTGTACATCTGTTGTTTGTTAGATAACATGTTATGACTGTTGTCTCTGTTAACAGGTGTACATCTGTTGTTTGTTAGATAACATGTTATGACTGTTGTCTCTGTTAACAGGTGTACATCTGTTGTTTGTTAGATAACATGTTTATGCCTGTTGTCCTCTGTTAACAGTGTACATCAGTTGTTTGTTTTTTAGATACATGGTTATACTTTTGTCTCGTTAACATGTGTTACATCTGTTGTTTGTTAGATAACATGGTTGTTGTCTCTGTTTTAACAGGTGTACATCGATGTATGTTAGATAACATGTTGTGACCTGTTGTCTCTGTTAACAGTGTACATCGTTGTTTGTAAGATAACATGTTATGGAACAGTTGCGTCTCTGTTAACAGGTGTACATCAGTTGTTTGTTAGAATACATGTTTATACTGACGGATCTCGCCTGTCATGGTCATGTTGTTCTGTAATCATGTGATGATTATTATGGATGATATTATGATTATTATAAGATTATTATGATGATATTATTATTATTATTATTATTATCTATGATGATAATTATGATGACTATTATGATTATTATGATGATTATTGATGATTAATAATGATGATTATTATGATGAAATATTAATTATGATTATTTATGATTATTATGATGAATTATTATGATGATTATTATGATGATTATTATGATGATTATTATGATTATTAAAATGATGATTATTATGATTATTATGATGATAATATATATGATTATTATAGATTATTATATTATTATATGAATATTATTATATTATTAGATTATTATATGATTATTATGATTATTATTTATGATTATTATGATTATTATGATGATTATTATGATTATTATGATGATTATTATGATGATTATTATGATGATTATTATGATTATTATGATGATTATGATTATTATGATGATTATTATGAATTATTATGATGATTATTATGATTATTATGATGATTATTATGATGATTATTATGATGATTATTATGATGATTATTATGATTATTATGATGATTATTATGATGATTATTAATGATTATAAGATGATTATGATGATATCATGATGATTATTAAGATGATTATTAATGATGATTATTATGAGATTATTAAGATATATATGAATGAATTATTATGATGATTATTATGATGATTATATGATTATTTATGATGAATAGATGATTCTTTAAGATGATTATTATGATGATTATTATGATGAATATTATGATTATTATGAGATTATATGATGATTATTAAGATATTATGATGATTATGATGATTATGTATAATGATGATTATTAGATGATTATTATGATTAATATTATGATGATTAATATGAGTTTCTGTAAGATTTATAAACTGTTTTTGTTAAATAAGAAAGATAAGTTAGTGTAAGGGAACCAAGACTCTTCAATATACTATCTTTAAATATAAGTGCAAGGGGACCAAGACTTCAATATACTATCTTTAAATATAAGTGTAAGGGCCAAGACACTTCAATATACTATCTTTAAATATAAGTGTAAGGGAACCAAGACTCTTCAATATACTATCTTTAAATATAAGTGTAAGGGGACCAAGACTCTTCAATATACTATCTTTAAATATAAGTGTAAGGGGGACCAAGGGGAACCCCCCACTTACCCCCCCCCCCCCTTCATATACTATCTTTAAATATAAGTGTAAGGAACCAAGACTCTTCAATATACTATCTTTAAATATAAGTGTAAGAGGACCAAGACTCTTCAATATACTATCTTTAAATATAAGTGTAAGGGGACCAAGACTCTTCAATATACTATCTTTAAATATAAGTGTAAGGGGAACCAAGACTCTTCAGACTATACTAACTATCTTTAAATATAAGTGTAAGGGGACCAAGACTCTTCAATATACTATCTTTAAATATAAGTGTAAGGGAACCAAGACTCTTCAATATACTATCTTTAAATATAAGTGTAAGAGGACCAAGACTCTTCAATATATTTTCTATCTTTTAATATAATGTAAGGGACCAAGACTTCAATATATACTATCTTTAAAAAAGTGTAAGGGGACCAAGACTCTTCAATATACTATCTTTAATATAAGTGTAAGGGGACCAAGACTTCAATATACTATCTTTAAATATAAGTGTAAGGGTACCAAGACTACAAATAAACTATCTTTATATAATAAGAGAAATGAACCAAGACACTCAATAAACAATCTTTAAATAAAAGTGATAAGGACCCAGACTTCATATACTATCATTAAATATATAAGTGTAAGGGGGACCAAGACTTCTTCAATATACTATCTTTAAATATAAGTGTAAGCGACCAAGACACTCACTATACTATCCTTAAATATAAAGTGTAAGGGGACCAAGACTCTTCAATATACTATCTTTAAATATAAGTGTAAGAGGACCAAGACTCTTCAATATACTATCTTTAAATATAAGTGTAAGGGGACCAAGACGCTTTCAATATACTATCTTAAATATAAGTTTAAGGGGACCAAGACTTTTCAACACACTTGTAGTTGTCTTTAAGATGGATGTTGATAAGTTGCTCAAGTCATTTCCTGATGAGCCAGGCTGTGGTGCATGCACTGATCTGTATGTGACTAGCACCAACAGATCACTTGATCAAATTAGCGACTGAGAGATCTGGTTTAGGGCCAGATGCAAAGGCAGTGACTCCCGATGGTCTTTATACCGTCAAGGAGGCCAGGAGCTGTAACTCAACCCGCTCAAGCCACATATAGTGAGTGGAGTAATGCACCACTGCCCTGGACCTCGCCTCACACACACCTTTGTGTACTCACCTGTTTGTGACTGTAGAGGTCGAGTCACAGCTCCTGTGTGTGTGTGTGTGAACTCACCTAAATATGTACTCACCTAATTGTGGTTAGCAGGGGTCGAGACCACTCCCTGGCCCCGCCTCTTCACTGATCGCTACTGAATCCTCTTCTCTCTCTGCTTCCTGAGTCTTTGTTCCTACCTCTTCTTAAAACTATGTATGTTCCTGCCTCCACTACTTCAGCTTTGCTAGGCTATTCCACTTGCTGACAGCTCTATGACAGAAGAAATACTTCCTAACGTCCATGTGACCGCCTGAGTCCCTTCAGCCTCCAGTTTGTGACCCCTTGTCCCTGTGTCCCCTCTCTGAACAGCCTATCTCTGTCCACCTTGTCTATTCCCCCCTCGCAGTATCTGTATGTCGTTACCATATCTCCCCTGACCCTTCTGTCCTCCAGTGTCGTCAGTCTGAACCACCATCACCATGAACAGATCACCATGCCATGATCACCATGAAACATTATCACCATGAACCAGGATCACCATAACCTGGGATCACCATGAACCAGGATCCACCATGAATCCAGGATCACCATGAACCACGAATCACCATTACCAGACCACATCACCATGAACCACAATCACCATGAACCAGGATCACCATGAACTAATATCACCATGAACCAGGATCAATATGAACCAGGATCACCATGAACCAGGATCACCATGAACCAGGATCACCATGAACCAGGATCACCATGAACCAGGATCACCATGAACCAGGATCACCATGATCCACGATTCACCATGAACCAGGATCACCATAACCACCAACACCAGAACCAGGATCCCCATGAAACCATATCACTGCAATGAACCACGATTACTATGAATTAGGATCACCATGAACCAGGATCACCATGAACAAGGATCATCATGAACCAGGATCACCATGAACCAGTATCACCATGAACCAGGATCAACCATTAACCACGATACTCTATGCCCATGATCACCATGAACCAGGATCACCATGAACCAGGATCACCATGAACCAGGATCACCATGAACCAGGATCACCATGAACCAGGATCACCATGAACCAGGATCAAAGCATGAACCAAGGAACAGATGAACCAGGATCACCATGAACCAGATCCCCATTAACCACATCACCAGAACAACGATCACCATGAAACCACGATCACCAATGAACCAACCACGATCACTCAATTACCAGGAACACCATAACCAGGATCACCATGAACAAGGTTTCCCCATGAACCAGGATCACCATGAACCAGCATCACCATGAACCAGTATCACCATGAACCAGTATCACCATGAACCACGATCACCATGAACCAGAACACCATGAATCCCAGTATCACACCATGAACCAAGGATCACCATGAAACCAGATCACCATGAACCACGATCACCATGAACCACGGAACACAATGAACCACGACACCATGAACCAGGGGGGGATCACCATGACCCAGATCACCATGACCCAGTTATCACCATGAAAAAACCCATACACCATGAACCAGGATCACCATGAACCAGTATCAACCATGAACCAGTACACATGAACCAGTTCACCAGAACCACGATCACCATGACCAGGATCACACATGAACCAGTATCACCATGAACCATATCCACCATGAACCAGGATCCCATTACCAGTATCACCATGACCACGATCACCATGAACCAGATCACCATGAACCACGATGACCATGATACATGATCACCATGAACCAGCTCACCATGACCAGTATCACCATTAACCAGGACACCTATGAACCAGATCACCATGAACCAGGATCACCATGAACCAGGATCACCATGAACCAGGATCACCATGAACCAGGATCACCATGAACCAGGATCACCATGAACCAGGATCACCATGAACCAGGATCACCATGAACCAGGATCACCATGAACCACGATCACCATGAACCACGATCACCATGAACCACGATCACCATGAACCAGGATCACCATGAACCAGTATCACCATGAACCAGGATCACCATGAACCAGGATCACCATGAACAAGGATCACCATGGAACCAGATCCACCATGAACCCAGATCACCATGAACAAGGATCACCATGAACCAGGATCACCATGAACCACGATCACCATGAACCACGATCACCATGAACCAGGATCACCATGAACCACGATCACCATGAACCAGGATCACCATGAACCAGGATCACCATGAACCAGCAATCACATGAAGCCCCCCAGATCACATGAACCAGATCAACCATGAACCACGATCCCATGAACCAGGATGCCCAAGAACCAGGATCACCAGAACCACTGAAACACCATGAACAGATCACCATGAACCAGGATCACCATGAACCAGTATCACTAACCTGTCTCTTCCTCCCTCAGGATGGGGTGAGGCAGTAGGCCAGCCTAGGCCTACTGGCCCTCCAGTGCCAGCAGCGGCCTACCTGTTGTGCTTCTGTTACGGGATCGCCGTTGTTGCTTCTGTTTGGCTGTTAATGGGGCTGTACAAGGTAGGCTTTACTGTTTTTGTTTCTGTTGGAAGCGACTGTTTGAGAAAGGTTTGAATATGTTTGTTAATGTTTATCTGTTTGTTTCTGTTTTGGTGTTGAGACGAGTAATGTTAGTTAAAAAAAAAATTCTGTTGTCTCTGTTAACGGTTATTACATCTGTTTGCTTGTTAGATGACGTTATGACTGTTGTCTCTGTTAACAGGTGTACATCTCTTTTCTGTTAGATGACATGCTATGACTGCTGTCTCTGTTAACAGGTGTACATCTCTTGTCTGTTATAAAACATGTTATCTACTGTTGTCTCTGTTAACAGGTGTACAACCTGTTGTTTAGTTAGATAAACATGTTATAATTGTTTCACCTGTATGACTAGGTGTAACATCTGTAGTTTGTTAGATAACATTATATGACTGTTGTCTCTGTTAACAGGTGTACATCTCTTGTCTGTTAGATGACATGTCATGACCGTTGTCTCTGTTAACTAGGTGTACATCTCGTTGTCTGTTAGATAAAATAAAGGGAAAGAGGAGGGGTATTTACCATGGTATGACTGTTTCTCTGTTAACAGGTGTACATCTGTTTGTTTGTTAGATAACATGTTAAGGTTTGTCCTCGTTAACAGTGTACATCTGTTTGTTTGTTAGAAACATTTGTGACTGTTTTCTCTTTAACGAGGTTACTATCCTTGTCTGTTTAATTAACATGTTATGACTGTTGTCTCTGTTAACAGGTGTACATCTGTTGTTTGTTAGATATGTTATGACTGTTGTCTCTGTTAACAGGTGTACATCTCTTGTCTGTTAGATAACATGTTATGACTGTTGTCTCTGTTAACAAGGTGTACATCTCTGTCTGTTTAGATAACATTTTCTGACTGTTGTCTCTGTTAAACAGGTTACATCTCTGTCTGTTAGGTGACATGTTATGACTGTTGTCTCTGTTAACAGGTGTACATCTCTTGTCTGTTAGATAACATGTTAAGACTGTTGTCTCTGTTAACAGGTGTACATCTCTTGTCTGTTAGATAACATGTTTATTGTTGTTGTCTCTGATAAGCAGGTGGTATATCTTTGTTTGTTAGATAACATGTTATGACTGTTGTCTCTGTTAACAGGTGTACATCTGTTGTTTGTTAGATAACATGTTATGACTGTTGTCTCTGTTAACAGTTGGAACATCCTTGTCCTGTTAGATAACATGTTTTATGACTGTTGTCTCTGTTAACCGTGTAACATCTGTATGTTTGTTATATAACATGTTTTATGACGTTGTCTCTGTTAACAGGTGTACATCTCTTGTCTGTTAGATAACATGTTATGACTATTGTCTCTGTTAACAGGTGTACATCTCTTGTCTGTTAGGTGACATGTTATGACTGTTGTCTCTGTTAACAGGTGTACATCTCTTGTGTCTTTTATGGTGACATGTTATGACTGTTTTTGTCTCTTTAACAGGTGTACATCTGTTGTTTGTTTGATGACATGTTATGACTGTTGTCTCTGTTAACAGGTGTACATCTGTTGTTTGTTAGATGACATGTTATGACTGTTGTCTCTGTTCACAGGTGTACATTCTGTGTTATGTTAGATGACATGTTATGACTGGTTGTCTCTGTTAACCGGTGTACATTCTGTTTGGTTTGCAGTGACATGTTATGACTGTTGTCTCTGTTAACAGGTTGCACATCTGTTGTTTGTTAGGTGACATGTAATGACTTGTGTCCTCATGTTAACAGGTGTAGGGCATCTGTTGTTTGTTTGAACATGTTATGGACTTTGTCTCTGTTAACCAGGAGTACACTGTTTGTATGTCGATGACATGTTATGACGTTGTCTCTGTTAACCAGTGTACATCTGTTGTTGTTAGATGACATGTTATGACTGTTGTCCTGTTAACAGTTACATCTGTTTTTGTTTTATGTCATTTATGACTGTTGTCTCTTTTAACAGGTGTTATACATCTCTGTCTGTTATGTACATGTTATGGACTGTGTCTCCTGTTAACAGGTGTACTATCTTTGTTTGTTAGATAACATGTTAAGACTGTTTTCTTCTCTGTTAACAGGTGTACATCTGTTTTGTTTGTTTGATGACATGTTATGACTGTTCTCTGATAACAGAGTGTATCATCTGTTGTTTGTTAGATAACAGTTATGACTTGTTGTCCTCTGTTAACAGTGTACATCTCTTGTCTGTTGGTGAACATGTTATACCTGTTTGTCCTCTGTTAACAGGTCGAACATCTGTTTTTGTTGTTAGTAACATGTTATGACTGGTTGTCTCAGTTACAGGTGTAGCATCTGTTGTTTGTTTGATGACATGTTATGACTTTTGTCTCTGTTATCAGGTATACATCGTTGTTTGTTAGATAACATGTTTATGACTGTTACTCTGTAACAGGTGTACATCTGTTGTCTGTTAGATAACATGTTATGACTGTTGTCTCTGTTAACAGGTGTACATCTGTTGTTTGTTAGATAACATGTTATGACTGTTGTCTCTGTTAACAGGTGTACATCTGTTGTTTGTTAGATAACATGTTATGACTGTTGTCTCTGTTAAACGAGGTGTACATCGTTGTTTGTTAGATAACATGTATGGTGTTTGTCTCTGTTAACAGTGTACAACTGTTGTTTTTGTAGATAACATGGTTAATGGTTGTTTTGTTCTCTGTTAACAGGTGTAGGCTCACTGTTGTTTGTTAGATAACATGTTATGACTGTTGTCTCTTGTTAACAGTTTTTACATCTGTTTGTTTGTATATAACATGTTATGACGTTGTCTCTGTTAACAGGTGTACATCTGTTGTTTGTTAGATGAACATGTTATGACTGTTGTCTCTGTTAACAGGTGCACATCTGTTGTTTGTTAGGTGACATGTTATGACTGTTGTCTCTGTTAACAGGTGTACATCTGTTGTTTGTTTGATGACATGTTATGACTGTTGTCTCTGTTAACAGGTGTACATCTGTTGTTTGTTTGATGACATGTTATGACTGTTGTCTCTGTTAACAGGTGTACATCTGTTGTTTGTTAGATGACATGTTATGACTGTTGTCTCTGTTAACAGGTGTACATCTGTTGTTTGTTAGATGACATGTTATGACTGTTGTCTCTGTTAACAGGTGTACATCTCTTGTCTGTTACGTGACATGTTATGACTGTTGTCTCTGTTAACAGGTGTACATCTGTTGTTTGTTAGATAACATGTTATGACTGTTGTCTCTGTTAACAGGTGTACATCTGTTGTTTGTTTGATGACATGTTATGACTGTTGTCTCTGTTAACAGGTGTACATCTGTTGTTTGTTAGATAACATGTTATGACTGTTGTCTCTGTTAACAGGTGTACATCTCTTGTCTGTTAGGTGACATGTTATGACTGTTGTCTCTGTTAACATGTGTACATCTGTTGTTTGCTCGATATCATGTTATGACTGTTGTCTCTGTTCACAGGTGTACAATCTGTATGTTTGTTTGGATGAAATGTTATGACTGTTGTCTCTGTTAACAGGTGTACAATCTGTTGTTTGCTTAGATAAACATGTTATGACTGTTGTCCTCTGTGTAACAGGTGTACATCTTTGTTTTTTAATAACATGTTAACTGTTGTCCTCTGTTAACAGGTGTTACACTGTTGTTTGTTAGATAACATGTTATGACTGTTGTCTCTGTAACCAGGCGTGTACAATCTTTGTTTGTTAGATAACAATGTTATGACTTTTGTCTCTGTTAACAGGTGTACATATGATGTTTGTCATATAACATGTTATGGTTGTTGTCTCTGTTAACAGGTGTACATCTGTTGTTTGTTAGATAACATGTTATGGTTGTTGTCTCTGTTAACAGGTGTACATCTGTTGTTTGTTAGATAACATGTTATGACTGTTGTCTCTGTTAACAGGTGTACATCTGTTGTTTGTTTTAGTAACATGTATGACTGTTTTCCTCGTTAACAGGTGTACATCTGTTGTTTGTTAGATAACATGTTATGGTTGTTGTCTCTGTTAACAGGTGTACATCTGTTGTTTGTTAGATAACATGTTATGACTGTTTGTTCTCTCTGTTAACAGTGTTACATCTGTTGTTTTGTAATAACATGTTATGACAGTTGTCTCTGTTAACAGGTGTACTCTGTTTTTGTTAATAACATGGGGTTTTATTTATTGACTGTTGTCTTCTGTTAACGGTGTACATCTGTTGTTTGTTAGATAACATGTTATGATGTGTCTCAGTTAACAGGTGTTACATCTGTTTTTTGTTAATAACATGTTATGACTGTTGTCACTGTTAACAGTGTACATTCTGTTTGTTTGTTAGATAACATGTTTATGGTTGTTGATCCTCTGTTAACAGGTGTAGCATCTGTGTTTGTTAGATTAAAATGTATGGTTGTTGTCTCTGTTAACAGGTGTCATTCTGTTTTTGTTAGATAACATGTATGACTGTTGTCTCATGTTTTTAACAGTGTACATCTGTTGTTTTGTTAGATACATGTATGATGTTTGTCACTGTTAACAGGTGTACATCTGTTGTTTGTTAGATAACATGTTAATACTGTTGTCTCTGTTAACAGGTGCACATCTTTTTTTGTTTAGGTTGACATGTTAAGACTGTTGTCACTGTAACATGTACATCTGTTGTTGTTTGATGACAGATGTTTATGACTGTTGACTCTGTTAAACAGGTGTACATCTGTTTTGTTTGTTTGATGACATGTTATGACTGTTGTCTCTGTTAACAGGTGTACATCTGTTGTTTGTTAGATGACATGTTATGACTGTTGTCTCTGTTAACAGGTGTACATCTGTTGTTTGTTTGATGACATGTTATGACTGTTGTCTCTGTTACCAGGTGTAGCATCTCTTGTCCTGTTACGTGACATGTTATGACTGTTGTCCTCTGTAACATGTGTACATTCCTGTTGTTGTTAGATAACATGTTATGACTGTTGTCTCTGTTACAGGTGTACATCTGTTGTATTTGTTTGATGACACGTGTTATGACTGTTTGTCTCTGTTAACAGGTGTACATCTGTTGTTTTTAGATAACAGTTATGATGTTTGTCTCTGTTAACAGTGTGTATTCTCTCTGTCTGTTAGGTGACATGTTTATTACTTTTGTCTCTGTTAACAGTGTACATACAAGTTGTTTGTTAGATAACATGTTATGAACTGTTGTCTCAGTTAACAGGTGGTACATCTGTTGTTTGTTTGATGACAGTGTTATGACTCGTTTGACTCTGTTAACAGGTGTAGCATCAGTTGTTTTTTTTTTTTTTGTTAGATAACATGTTATGACTGTTGTCTCTGTTAACAGGTGTACATCTGTTGTTTGTTAGATAACATGTTATGACTGTTGTCTCTGTTAACAGGTGTACATCTGTTGTTTGTTAGATAACATGTTATGACTGTTGTCTCTGTTAACAGGTGTACATCTGTTGTTTGT